AGAGGCAAAATGGAGAAGCCATATGTGGAAAAACTAAGTACACCCTTACTGCTTCCATAGATAATGAAGAGGCTAAGTAGCAGCTAGGTGCTAGTAATCAAGTGCCCTTGATCAACTGATCATCAGAAAGTGACTACCTCTATAAAAGCTGAAGTTTTAAGAGTCTGCTGTTCTTCAGCATTGAAGTATGTGTTAACACAATATTAAAGAGTAATGACACCAGCAAAGATCTTAAGAGAAGCAATTGTTGCTGTCTATCTGTTGCTGCCACCATGGTAAATTTGGTAAGGATTATAAGGCCATTTCCAAACAATGTAAAGTCCATCATTCTACAGTGAGGAAAATTATTCACATTATTCAAGACAGTTGCCAATCTTCCCAAGACTGGACATCCCAGCAAATGCACCTCAAGGTCAAACCATGCAATGCTCAGAGAATCCCAAGAGTTACATCTGAGACTCTACAGCACCGGTGTTAAACTCGATCATGCCACATGACATATCGCAACATATCATGACTTTTTTGCCTTTGCAGAGCCCGGATGGATGTGGCCTGTGTGTGACGCATCCAGCCCTTGGGCTGCCAGTTTGGCACCCCTGATCTACAACATGTTAAATATTGAAGTTCATGACAGTACAATTCAAAAAAGATGAGTAAGTATGGTTATTTGGAAGTGTTGCCAAACAAACTAAAAAGAAAATGGCAGCACAGCTTAGGTTTGCAAAGTTGCATCTGAACAAATCACAAGATGTCTGGGACACTGCCCTTTGGATAGCCGAGACCAAAGTGGAGATGTTTGGCCATAATGCGCAGTGCCGCGACTCTGACACGGTTTTGATCCATGCTCGCCGCTGGAGCGCCCCGAGCCGGCTGGTTTCGAGGCTAAGCCAACCTGTAGAGGTAGTGAAGAGGGGGGAGACTGCCTGCAGGGTTGAGGAGAGTCGCATCTCTCCTGCTCAGCTGGCCATTACTCCCTTTCCCGAAGGCGGTTGTAGCAGTGGTCAGAAATGGCCACCCCAAAGAACTCGACCAGAAAAGAATGTGCAGGAGGAAGATAAGAAGAGAAAGTTGGGTTGACTGGGTCAAACAGCAAAAACAACGAATAAAGTACCCTGGAATTTAAACTATAAAAAAAAAATAACACTGTTCCCAAAGAAGATTTTCAAACAGCGAAGGAGAGAGAAAAGGCAAAGGATTTTCCTTGGTCTTTTTTTTCTCCTCTTCCTTTCCCTATACTGACAGCTAAGAGCCTTAAGCAAGAAATTGGAAAAAAAAAATCCACTTTGACATCAATAGGCATTTAAGCTGAAAATAAAATGTCAAAGGGATAATAAAGATTTCTGGATACTTAAAAGCTTTTGAAAGCAGGAAAGGAGAAAAAAAGAATAAAAGGGCAGGATCTGGGAGGGGAGGAGACTGCCTGGAATTAAAAAGAACTTACAGTAAAATCTCAACAAGACTTCTAAAAGAAACATTTTAACTGAAACATGGGAACAAAATAGCAAGACTCCAGGAAGAGAAAGTGAAAAAAGAAGTAAGAAGAAACAGCTCTTGAGTATTTGGATTACTTGGTGATTTCTGGATTTTTGGTTACTGCATTTGAATGACTAAAATCAATCTGGTGGTTCTTTAAAAGTGTTTAAAATGGCAGCACTTTTAGAAGAACTGAAAATGGAACTTAAAAAGTACAAAGAAGATTCATAAGATGGGAGAGGTTCTTTTGGCTTCGTATTTCAATTCTTAGAAATGGAGATTTGGAACTATGAGAAACAACAAGAAATGCCTGCAGAACAAGAAGATTGGGACAAAGAAGAAGACATCTTTAACGAACAAGTAATTTTATGTGGGGGGAAAAAAGGAAAGGGGAGAAAGAGAATGAAAAGTTTAAGATTTCGAAAAACAACCCCCAAAAAGAATAATTTGAAAAATAAGTATAAAATTAGAAAGCAACAGAAGAGGGAAATGCAGAAGAGAGAATTAGAAGTAGCGAGACAAGGGGGTAAAAAGGGGAGGGAGAAGGGGAGGGAGAAGAGAGGGAAGAAAGAAAGGAAAAGAAGTTATAAAGGACAGAAACAAGATATAGAGAAACAGGGCCTATTTAGAGACAATGGGTGAAAATTTAATGGAAAAAGGGATTCTGCAAAGGTACATAAGATAGTATTGTATTGTATAGTATAGAAATAGAAATAATTTCAGAAAATATGAAACAATGTATGATTAAAATGATGGATAAAATAGTTATCGTAATTTAGTGGAATGTTTGTTAATAAATAAATGTAATAAAATGAATATTTAATGATTTATAAAACATAAGGGAACAGAAATAAGGGAAAAATTAATTATGGAAAGATTATACGTGTCCCCAAGGAAGTATAATATTTAATTGAAAAGAAATGTTAAAGATGTTAAGACTTTAATGAATATTAATGATAGAACTGAATTGGAATGGAATGAGGGTTTTAATTACATATATTTATAATCCTAAGAATATAGTGTATATTTTAAGAATGTACCAAGCAGAATTATTATGTATTATATTGAATATTATAACCTTAAGGTATACATTGAAGTTCAAATAAGAGTTGAATGGATAAAATTAAAAGATATAAAGGTGTCATACTCCAATTAGTAACTACAGAAAAAAAATTGTTTAATGAGAAAAGGTAATATGAAATTGAAACAGGACAGACAAAAGTATAAATATAATGATTTGAATTGAGATGAGATAATCAAAATAAAGTTGAGAAAATTAAAAGAGGGGGAAAACTATTTAGAAAATGCAAAATAGTAACAACATATGGATTAGAACACAAAAATGAGCATGAAATTGAGTTTGTGTCTGTATAAAGAAGTGTAACCTACGCTATTTTCAAAAAAGATGTTTTACTTGTATTATGTTTTTTTGTGTGTGTGAAAACCCAAATAAAACTTAAAAAACAACAACAATCAAGTCTCTAGTTTTCCAGGTTAAGGGATGCAGAAAAGTATCATGTAACTACAAGAGCTAAGTCCTCAACTTATGACAAGTGAGACAAGAATTTCCATTGCTAAGCAAGGCAGTTGTTAAGTGAATTGTGCCCAGTTAGCTATCCTAACTTTTTGTCATGATTAAGTGAATAATTGCAGATATTAAATTAATTCTGCTTGGAAGGTTGCAAATGGTGATCATGTGAACCCAGGATGCTGCCACCATGGTAAATACAGCATATGCCAGTCACCATGCACCCGAATTCTGACCAGGTGACTGTGGGAATGCGATAGCAGTCATTAAGTGTAAAGATCAAGTTGTACATCACGCTTTTCAGTGCCATTGTAACTTTGAATGGTCACTAAACAAATGACTTTAAGTTGAAGACTACCTATAACAGGGGTGTCAAACTCAATTTCATTGAGGGCCACATCTGGATTGTGCTTGACTTCGGAGGGCCGGGGAGGGGCATGGCCATGGTGGGCATGGCCATCTCAACATCACTCATGTCAGAGGGGCACCTGTGGTGGCCAAGTGCTAAGGCAGGACTTCCCTGAGACCCACACTTATTCATTATAATCTTCCTTCCTTCCTTCCCTCTTCATCTTCTTTCCCCTTTTTCCTTATTTTTCCTTCCTTGCTCTATTCCCATTTCCCATCTTTTTGTCTTTTCTGTTTCCCTTTCCCCATTCCAGTCCCTTCTTGCATGCTCAAATACAAAAGGGGAAACATTTCTCGTTTTGTTTTTAGTTTGTTTTGATAGCCCTCTGCCAGCAAAAATGGAGTTGGGGGGCACATGCACTCCCCCTCCCAGTTCCGTTCTTGCTGGCAGAGACACCGCGGGCTGGTCCTTTGCTGTTTCCAGGCCAGCAACACGGGCCAGATCTAAGCACCCTGCGGGCTGGATGCGACCCACGGGTCTTGAGTTTGACACTCCTGACCTATAACGCATTAATTAGGGTTATAATTGTACCCTCCAATGCTCATATTTTTCAATCAATGTCCTTCATGTCCTGAGTTAGAATTAAGGGAAAGCACAATTTCTCAGAAGCAAGGATAGAGAAAATATAAAATACAGTACATAGGATAAAACCTAACACATATTAAGTTACAGAAGGTGTCCTGACAGCATTATGATCAAATTAAATATTAAATTTTCTATTATTAGAAGTTAGCCCTCCTGAGGTCCAAACTGAAGAAATAGTCATAATTATTTGTATTTCCCATTTCTAAACTGCCCATCTCCCTCAGAGAATTTGAAATTAGAATTTGGAACTAATTATCATCCAGAGATCTTTCAGCATGTACTTGAGCAAGTCTTCTGTACTATATTGTTTGTAATATAAAATTGGCTCCTATGGTTGCCACCTAGTGGATATAAACTTGTCATTATCCAAATTTGTCAACCCAGTAAGAAAAATTTCACTGCAATCCTAAATACATTGCCAAGAACTAATCCCACTTATATGTAACTCATTTTGCAACATTAGGTAAGACATATAGGATCAGTTTATAAACCTATTATAGGCTTTTGTAACATGCTGTAAGCTAAAAATGAGCCAAGTTGGGCCATTGCATAATTTGTATTAACAAAATCATTTTTTATTAGTACTTGGAATCTTTTCAGAGCCATGGAAAATAAAATGAATGAAAAGTGTCCAACTCAATTTAAATATTAGAAATATTATCCTTTTACTTAAAAGCCTGTTTGGGATAACAAGTAAACTTTTTCAGAATTTAAAACTTGAGATTGTTGTTCATAATGTAATTTGAGTTTCAGTAAAATGATCCTGCTTGATAGTATCCGATGTGGCTAAAATCTGACTGAGTTTCAAGATAATACATGGTTGCTAATTGTAAGCCCCACTGAATGGATTTTAGATAAACATGAATACAATTGCAATGTTAATTTTCTTAAATCAATTTCCCTTGCTTTTTAAAGTCAACTCAATCCAAATAATCTTTTTGAACAACCAAGGTAGTCAGTCAATCTACATACAAGTTTGTCTGTGAGCCACTGCAACTTGAAGTGTACAATTTGAGGTTATTTAATAGTTGAGTAAAAACATATGAAAGTTATTCATGTATTACCAGATGGACACCAAAAACAACCCTGTTTATGTTTTAGAACTGAAATACAAATAATCTTAACATTCAGAAATGAAAATGTACCCAATGAAATATGTGGAACTTCATACAAAATTGTTCAGTTTCATCACCACACCATTTGCTTTCATGCCTTCTTTACGTAGCTTAATAGCTCTTCTTTATTCATTTGATAATCACTTTTTTTCCACTGTTCTCGTAATTGTTGCAGGAGGGGCCCAATGTCTTTGCCTGATGAGATTCCCATTTGTCTTAAGTCATGACCAGTTACAGGAAAAAAAGGCATAGACCACTCTTGCATTTCTTTCAGAAGTTGTTCTTCTCCTTGGTACTTCAGAAGTTCATGGATTCTGGATGTTACAGAAGCCTCCCTTGCCTTCACAAATACAGAAAATGAGAAACCTGAGCACAAAGCATTCATGGCTAAGTTACTATTTTTATACACAAAATACTTCAAACCAGATCAATCCTCAATCTTCTTAAGTTCAAACTTTACTTGGCACTATTTTTAAAAACAATAACTATTTTTTTCGGTGCTTATGCATTAGATGGTTTGTTTGTGGCTATATACAAAGAGGAACCCAGTCTGTATTTAAGGAGTCAGCATTCATACTCTCACAGCCTTCTTCCTAACTCCTAGCTTATGTATCTGAGATTAATGAATGAGGAGAAAGATGGCTCCCAACAGATCAAATTAAAAGATAAACAAAAATCAATATTTATCCGGAAAAGATTTACTATACTTACATCTAAAACAAAATCCTGGTATGGTTTAAGAGGCATTGAAGTATCGGAAGCTTTGGTCAAGTCTCTCCTGTGCTTCAACAGAAATAGCCCAAGGTTTTTTTCATCTTTTGATAGTTTCAGTCTTAAATCCAGTTTTGAAAGATCACATGGAACCTTTAACAATGACGTTAGAATGGTCATTGGTTTTGGTAAGAGATTCTGAACATTTTTACAGACTGTGTCAAATTCCTGTAAGTTCCCATTAACAGGTAATCCTGAGGGGATACATATAAAGAAGGGTTTTGAGAATAAGATAACTTAACTATTAGAAATTGACAAGAAATCAACTAAGATTACAAACAAAGCAGTATGTGGAATTGCTAGACAAGCAGAATGGCTAACAGTATCATTACAAGTAATGGCAACATCAAAACGCTAGTGCCCTGCCACTATAGAACCAATGTAGAACAGGGCTACAGATTCAAAGCTTTTTAGGCCTAGCAAGCAACAGCAGTATCCCAATGTTCTAATTTTTCAACCTTGACAAAGTTGTGTGACTTCAACTCCCAGAATTCCCCAGACTGTCCACACTGTCCTAAGTAATGCAGACATTAAACTCATTTCAGAAGTTAATATGACAAATCTGGGAGCCCTGCAGTTTTGAGATTTCAGATTCTAAAATTCTCAAGCCAGGTTTACTGAGGAACTCCAAAGATCTTTGAAGGACAATTACTATGGCCTGTTATTGAAAAATAAAAAGATGTAACTAGTTACTCAAGGATATGTCACTCAGATAATAATATTCTCAATCTCTCTATGGAGATTCTCAATCATCCAAATAATGGTTGTCCCAAATAAAATCCACACCAGTCAATTAGAACTGAAGAAGCTTCTTGAATGAGAAGCAAAACATTTTCAAAGAAAAAAATGCCAAGAAAGTCCAGTTGTCTTTTGGAAAAAGCACCTTTGGGATATTCTCTGTCTCCAATATTCACATTTATATAGAAATTAACATCTATTAAGCTTTTTACCTATATAATCAGTTACTGTAAGTTCATACATCAGATGAATGAGTTGATTTACATATTTTCCAACAATAATTTTTTTCAATTCAGTCCAAATCCTTTCGCCAGATATTCCAGCCAAACCTTTGGCGTTTTCTTTAATGGCTTCCAAAGTTTGGGCATCATGGTCATCAGGCTTTTCAGCTATCCTCCCGTAAAATCTAAGGAAAATTTTTTTCAGTCTGATAATCTTCATTTAATGGAATTTATTTAATAAAAATTAAATGAATTGAAATAAAATAAAATAACTTAATATGCATGAAATAGGCATCATTATTACCAACCCCACTACTCACAACTTGATTTTCAAGAAGTTGGGAACAGGATAGGATGGCAGAACAATGTAACAGTATATATCGAAGTGTTCATACGCAAACAAAATTCACTCTATATTAACTCAATACCGTCACTGTAAAGACTTGGAATACAATTGTTTTTATAAATATGATAGTTCAAATATATTCAGGCAAACTGACCATCAAAGTGGAAAGGGCCGAGATCTGATGTCCAAATACCATTAATACTGAGTGCCATACACAAATCAGGAAGTCAGAGCTCTATAAGTGATCTACAAGTGAAATGTAATTAAGGAATAAACAAAAGAGCCTCCAGATCTCTGCAAACTAGCCATTGCTCTTATCATGTAGAAATATAAAGCTATTTACCGGAAGTAGCGTAGAATGCGTAAAAAATCTTCTTTAATTCTCTGGTTGGCTTCTCCTACGAATCTGATATTCTTGTTCTTTAAGTCATTGTAACCATTGAAGTAATCATAAAGAGTGCCATCCAAACCTATCAAACAAGTGGAACATTTTATTTATTTATTTATTTGTCAATTGCTTACAAGATGATAGATATAAGTATAAACATAGTTATGAATACATGGATACATATAAGAGAGAAAAAAAGAAACAATAGGACAGGGACTGTAGGCACGTTGGTGTACTTATGCATGCCCCCTACAGATCTCTTAGGAAAGGGGTGAGGTCACTGGTAGACAGTCTAAGATTAAAAGTTTTTGGGGAAGAAACCAGAGTCAGGTAGAGTATTCCAGACATTGACCACTCTGTTGCTGAAGTCATGTTTCCTGCAATCAAGTTTGGTGCGGTTAATCATGAGTTTGTATCTATTGTGTGCTCTTGTATTGCTATGGTTGAAGCTGAAGTATTCATTGACAAGTAGGACATTGGAATGTATGATTTTATATAATATACTTAGATCGGACTGAAGGTGGCATAGTTCTAGGTTTTCTAGGTCTAGAATTTCAAGTCTGGTGGCATAAGGTATTCTGCAACGAGTAGAGGAGTGGAGAACTCTTCTTGTGAAATATTTCTGGACTTTCGCTACTGTGTTAATAACAGATATGTAATTTGGGTTCCAGACTGATGAGCTGTATTCAAATACTGGTCTAGTAATTGTTTTGTATGCTTTAATTAGTAGTGTGATATTACCAGAGAAAAAGCTACGTAGGATTAGGTTAACAACTCTTAATGCCTTTTTGGCTATGTAGTTACAGTGGGCTCTAGCACTTAGATCATTTGAGATGAGTACTCCAAGGTCCTTGACAGAGTTTGGATCATCAACAAGGTCTTGACTATTCAGCTTATATTTTATTTTCTGATAAAAAAATGTAAGACAGATATTGTCTAATATTAGGTTGACTCAGCCTTCTATCCTTTGCCAATATGTAAGACAGAGCATTTATTTGTTGAGATTTGAACTTGTCATTTGTTTGATCATTCTGATACATAGTCAAGGTCTTTTTGAAGGGTAGCAGAATTGTGGTGTTGAATAGCTTTACATCATCAGCGAAGAGAACACAATTACTCTTAATATGATCACAGAGGTCATTTATGTAGAGTATGCAGAAAGTTGGTTCTAGAACACTGCCTTGAGGGACACCACTGTTGATAGGTACAGAATTTGATAGGACGTTTCCAATTTTGACCATTTGTTGTCTGTTTGACAGGAATGCTTCTATCCAGTCATGCAGGTGTCCAGAGATATCATAAGATTTTAGTTTTAGGAGTAGTTTGTTGTGTACCACTGAATCAAAGGCTTTACAGAAGTCTATGTAGATTGCGTCTACATTTTGCCCTGATCAAGTTGTGTAGTCCATATGTTTTTGCAGTGTAAGAGTTGCAGATTACAGGATTGTTTTTTTCTGAAACCAAATTGTTTATTAGAGAGTAGGTTGTTTGTCTCTATGTGGAGGATGATGGATTGCTTAATAATTGATTCCATGGCTTTACAGGTGACGCAGCATAAGGAGATTGGTCTGTAATTTTCAACTGGGCTAGGGTCTCCCTTTTTGAAAATGGGGGTGATCGTGGCTAGTGACCATAGGTTTGACAAGAAGCTGGTCCTGAAAGATTTTTCAAAGATTTATGCTTAGAGGTTCGGCTATGGCAGTGGATAGCTTTTTTAAGAAGCAGGCACATATTCTGTCTGGTCCAATAGATATAGATGCTTTTAGATTGCATAAGTGCAATTATTTTAATAGAAATTACTTAGAACTTTTTAAAAAGCACTTTCGAAAACTCCATCTTTAGCATTTTACCAAGGCCAGAGAAAGATTACCACCAATCTTGGCAGATAGTAGGGTGAAACATTCATTTTAGAAGGCCAAAGTTAAAAAATATTAGGCACTAATTTTATATTAACTTCTGGACCACGTTCCAAGAACTTAAGACATATACACTCCATGTAAGATGATTTTCCAGTTAGCTTCCAACTCCTACTTTAGCCTAAACCTAGAACCACAAAAGATAAAGTTGAAGGAGAACATTTAGGTGAGAGAACAGTCTCCACTTATAGGACCGTCATGCCATCTTTTAAGATGGAAAAATAGCTTACCTAGGAACATAGAATTAATGGTGAGATCTCTTCTTGCTGCATCTTTTTCCCAGTCAGTTGTGAATTCTACTTCTGCATGTCTCCCATCAGTATGCAAATCAATTCTCAGTGTGGTAATTTCAAAGTTCTCCTCATGGAGCTGCAGCAAAAAGAAAAAAACCTCATTTGGCTACCCTTTTAAATCCCTTTTAAAACCTCGTATTAGATGAATAGAATACAATTTTGAAAAAAATATCCATCCATCCATTTTGTTTCCTGCATGAAAACATTCCTTTGCCTGTTTTTTATTTCCTTTTTCCTTTTACAGCTTAAAATTGAGGGTGGGGGTTTATTGGGTTTTGTATTGGGAGTTTTATTTCTGTAAGCTGCCTGGAGTTACCTTGAGTCAGTTGGCGGCCATATAAAATTTCTTAATAAAAAAAAGCAGACAACTCTCTTTTTTTAGAGTATTTCCCTTCATGCAATCAAGTCTGTTTCCACTTGCACCAATGTCTTATCTGGAATTTTTCCCCACATAGCATTCAAGCTAATTGTCATCTTTTTTTGCACTCAAGTACATGTCTTATTCTTCTTTGTACATTAGTGACAAATATTTTCTATCAAATTTATAACTTTTTAAAAATATTTACAAATGCCATAGTATTCCAAAAAACATGTAATGCTAATGCTTTGATTATTCTCTGTTTTGGATTAAATCAGCTTCTAGTTTGTAGGACTGGAGACAATGACTTAGCCACAACTAGACTCAGAGACATTTCATCTTGCCCCACGTGCCTTAAGTTCTGGTAGTTTGGGCACAGGGTTCTAGGCCTTCCTTCTCCAAAATGGCATTTTCTGCAATTCCCAGACATTGTGGTGAAAAAGTATAGTACACCTATCTTCCATTACAAGCAAGTATCATCAGAGTCTGATGATATTGTCATGGTGTGCATACAGCCCATTTCTCTTTCTCTTCTAATATTCTCCAACATTTGCTGATATAGTCAATCAGCAATGAAATCCGCTTACGGGAAGGGGGAAATAAAGTTGCCTCATTGCAACAATGTCTATATTTTTCTATTTACTAATAACAAAAAGCAAATCTAAACTATATTTACTAGCTTTCAAGCTCAACATGAGAACAATTTGGACTTTATTTTTTAATAACCTTAGGAATATAAATCTATAGAAGTTCCTCTTCTACTAAAATACTTTTGCTATCTATTTTGCATTTTAAAAGTTTTCAAAATCCTTTTACCCGAGCAGTGATAGTTCCATGTTTTTCTCCTCGGTTGTTGATCATACGGACACCCATGGCCTGGAACATTTCTTTCATCTGACTAGGAGTTGCAGTAGTGGCAAAATCGACATCTTGTGGTTTTATTCCACTGAGTAAATCCCTTACAGCACCTCCTGCTATTCTTAGTTCATAATTTTCTTTCTCAAACATTTCTGTAAGTAGAAATGGGAAAAAATTGTAAAGAGAAACAAATTCTGAAGACGACAAAATGGACAATCCCATTAACTCTACTAGTAAGAATGGTACATGAAGGAAGCCAAGTAAAAGAAATTATAGCATGACTTTTGATTTATGCTAGGTTTGTCCAGGACAAATAATGCTCTAGCCTAACTTTTAATTCACAAGTTACAATTTAATTTTGTAAATTTAATAGAATGGGGCTGCATTGGCTCAGTTACAAAATGTGTTATTTATATACTATTTGGTTGTCTTTTGGCCTTGTGTGTGAATGCATTCATGCAAAGATGTACTCCATCCTGAAAAAGACATTGCTCATAGATGGAGAAAATTTAAATAATAGCTTAGCTTTTTAAAAACCCCTTATTTCTGTGTTGCAACTTAGAAAAAAAAAAGAAACTACTGAATAGCATTTAAGATTTTTTTCTTTTCAAAAAGTCATGTGCATTCGACCACATGCAGATTAGTCTTGATCAAGATTAAGACCAATCAAATACTGCAGAAGGGGCCTCTATTTTCACTTGTATCATTAAAAGGGCTTAAATATAGACCTTCCCGTATTTCTTATAGCTATTGATACAAACGTGTTTTGTATGTCCGATATTAGGTTGACTCAGCCTTCTACCCTTCTGAGGTTGGTAAAATGAGGACCTAGATTGTTGGGGGCAATATGCTGACTCTATAAACTTCTTAGAGAGGGCTATAAAGCACTGTAAAGTGGTATATAAGTCTAAGTGCTATTGCTATCACTCAGGCAGGCATTCTAACAAATCACAGAAGCAGCCAAAGAATCTAGACCATATTGTAAAATGAAACGTTTCATGTAAGTTATATGTCTGGATTAAGCATTTTAAAACACTTCTCCCAATTTACCTCAGCAAAAGTCTGGAAAATCTCAGTTTAACATAAATGAAATAAAGGTAGTTCAATATAACGTCTACAAGTAGCACATATCCTTGGAACATGACACTACATTGGAAACAGTGAAACAGTGACCAAATGTTTGATACACCCAACTCTCAGATATGACGAATGAAAAGAATCAAATTTGTCCTTCTAAATAATGCACCTGAAAAGTGAGCAGGACTAGTTTGCAGTCTTGCAGTGAAACTTATGTTTGATACTTAAAAGTCTCAAATCTGTTTTGATAGTTTGAGAAACATTTGTATCTCGGTGGCCCATTGATGAGTACTTTTTGGTAAACTGTATTTGAGTGAGAAAGACATTCAGATACTATTATAGACCAGTGTTTCTCAACCTCTGCAACTTTAAGACATGTGGACTTCAACTCCCAGAATTCTCCAGCCAGCATCCATGTGCCTTAAAAGTTGCCCAGGTTGAGAAACACTACTGTAGAGCCTTTTGAACAGTTGTTAAAAGAAATCTGGCTGTTATATTAGTTATAATCCCAATGCAAAAGAGAGTAACCTACTAGTTTATGTTGCTATCTTGGTATGCACCAGCATGTGGTATTTTATTACTGAAGTTACTACCAGAATAAAATAATTACTATTCATAGTAATAAATCAAGAGTTCTTGTTCATTGTTGTTTTCACAATTTATCAGGAATTTTAGTACTTAACAGGGCTGAGAAACCTGCCTTCCCCCATCACCTTGAAGAAATAAACCAATCTGATAATTACAGAGTTGGAAGGGACTTGAAAATCTTCTAGTCCGATCCTCTGCTTAGGCAGGAAACCCTATTCCATTTCAGACAAACTGTTGCCCAATCTCTTCTTAAAAACCTCCAGTGTTGGAGCAATTACAACTTCTGGAGGCAAGTTTTTCCATTAATTGTTCTATCAGGGAATTTCTCCTTAGTTGTTTCTCTCCTTGATTAGTTTCCACCCATTGCTTTTTGTCCTGCCTCCAGTGGCTTTGAGAATAGCTCTTCTTTGTGGCAAGCCCTGAGATACTGGAAGACTATGTCACCCCTAAGTCCTTCTTTTCATTAAATTAGACATACCCAACAATGGTAAGGGATACTCAAGAGTGTAGATCAAGTGTCTTCAAACTTGGGAAGTTTAAGACTTGTGGACTTCAACTCCCAGAATTCCTGGGCTAACATGACCTGAGGAGGAATTCTGGAGTCCACAAGTCTTAAACTTCCCAAGTTTGAAGACCCCTGGTGTTTAGATGTTCAAGCAAACAGCTGGAGTCCGGCAGGTTGTCCATCCCAGCTCCCAAGCCACCTCCCAAGAAAACGAGGCACCTGTACCTGCTATGCCCTTCAGTCCTGGTGTGAAAAGGGACTGAAATTCGGAAGACTCTATCTTCATGGTTCTGAAATTCCGACAAAAGCTCGCAAGCCCTACTCTGTTGCGGGGAGCAAGGATTTCAACTACTTTACAGCCCAGAAGAACGAAACGACTCCACATCTTTTAAAAAAGAAAAAAAGAAAAACAGCGAAACGAAACCACGAGTTAATGAACACGCAAGGCAAGCATGGTGCAGACAGCTCAGAGGCCCGGTAGATATAGCTATATTACGTGGGTGGCGGTTGGGGACAAAGCCCTTTGCACAGCTAGGAAAGGTGGAGTGAGCCGCCGGAAAAAAAAATAAACCTCACGCCACGCTCGGTTTCCGCGGCCTGCAAGGAATCCCCGCACCGGCCGGGCTTTTCAGTCCATTCCCCCTTTTCCCCGTTCCTAGGGCCTTTGCTGGTCAACCTGCGCTGGCAAGAGAAAGGGCAGCCTGACTCACCCACGAACTTGGGGGGTCGCTTAAGCGTGCGGCTTAAGCGTGCGGACCCAGCAGCCCCGCAGCCCAGTTGCTGCAGGAAAAAAAAAATGAAGGGAAAGGAAGGGTGGGAGTCCCAGAAGCACGAATAGGAGACCGGCGCTACAACGGAGTAACTCCTCCTCCGCGTCCTTCCTATTCGAGGGCGGCGCTTTTATTTGTCTAGAAACCCGCCAGTGGCTGCGCCGCTTTACTCAGCAGCTGTGCGCGCTTTTTAAAAACGGGCTGCCGGATCGTTCGCCGCCTTGTGGAGTAGTTTCAGCTATTGATGTGGGGCGGGGGGGGGGGGAGGTTTCTAGGCCTTTTGTGTTCAAGGGCCTTTCTGCGGCATTAAAAGGCCTCCCGAAATTGATATTTTGCTTATGTCCGAAAGAAATGGCCTTTTAAAAGGTCGTTATCTTTAAGGGTATTTTTATCTTTAATATATGTGGGATATATGTGGGTATTCTCTCTCTCTCTCTCCATGTTTATGTATATTGAAGGGGTGGTGACCCTTTGAAAACTGTATGCAACGAAATTTCATTTTAATGTAGGCCGATTGGTGCACATTTAAAATGATAATAAAGTTATTCTAAGTTTAAGTCTTGGTCCACAAAATGCAATGAACGGTGTGCTTTATCCCTACTTTGTTAAACACAACTGGCTAGGTTTTCACAGTATGGTAAGCTAAAAATCACAGTGAACACTGGAAAGGCTGGATCCATATAACAGGTTTTAATGGTTGTTGAAAGGTGTCAAAATGCCTTTCGAGGATTCGATTGTCCTGCTGGGAGAGCTCCGGCACAAAGATACGGACAACTGCCTGAAAGCTGGATCTTTTTATTTTTCAGGAAGGCGGAGAACAGCGAGAAGTCTCCGTTTCTGGGCTAGCTAGCTTCTTATGGTAAGTCCCTGTTTTTTATACCCCTTTCTCCCTTTGTAAGTTGATTTTGTGTGAGTGTTTGTATTTGTGCCTAATGTGTTCCGGACTAGCAGGCTCAAAGCCTGCAAACCTGATTGGCCCGCTGATAGCTGATCGTGATTGGTCGCCATAGACTGATGCGATTGGCCAGTAAACGGGCTGCTGCAATTGGCCCTGCCAAGAGCGGCAAACTCAAATCGCTTTCATTGGCTGCCTAGCCGCAGCCAGCCCTATATAAGGGGCTGCTGCGGCTGGGATTAGTTGCTCAGATCTGAAGTCACAAATAAAGAGCTGTTGTTGCTATCTGAGTCTTGCCTCCGTTCTTGAACCATCCTCCCAGATCTAACACTGGCGACGAGGATGGGATGCGGAGGCAACGAAGTCTATTGATTTGAGCTAGCTGAAGGAGCACGTGGCTGACAGAGCGCAACGATGGCGACATGGCCAGCAGCGCTATACCACCAGCACCATTCGATCCAGCTAGCGAAGACTGGGACTCTTATATGGACAGATTTCAAATGTTCCTGGAGTCCAACAACCTCAAAGATGCCACGCCTAGCAAGAAACGAGCCGTTTTTCTAACCCATTGTGGGCCAGCCATTTTTAAGATGGCTAAAGCCTTAGCGAAGCCAGCTGAGGTTAAAACCATGGATTGGGACACCCTTGCTCCCATCCTGCGCAACTATTACGCCCCAGCCGTGTCAACTCTCATTCGCAGACACGAGTTCTACCAGAGGGACCAGCGTGAAGGTGAGAGCGTTGGGGATTTTGTGGCAGACCTGAGGAACCTGGGGGGGTTATGTGGCTTCGCCAACCTCGAAGAAGCCATGAGAGACCTCATCGTCCTTGGCCTCAGAGACCCAACCGTCCAGAGCAAGATCATGGCCAAGGGAGACATCTCGCTTGCAGATGCCATAGCAGACGCCACCTCAGCTGAAGCCACTCGTAAATCAGCAGCACGAATGTGTCGAACCAGCGGAACCAACCGCCAACCCACCAACGATGCTGGGAAACCTTCAGACAAGTACACATCGACCACCCATCATGAAGATGTCGAGTCATCCTCAGACAGCGAGGAAGAAGAAGTCCACAGGCTCCGGTCTGAATGTGAGCAACGGTTCCAGCGGGGTCGTAAACCCAACTACCAATGCGCCGGATGCGGGGGAAACCATCCCCGATCCGAATGCAGATTCTTAGACGCCATGTGTCGTTTTTGCGAGAAACGAGAGCACATCGCGAAGGTATGCAGAAACGAGAAATTCCAGCCCCAGATGGAGAGGGAGCAGCGCAAAGAGGTATGATGGCAACTCCACCATACAGAGGGACCGCCCTAGCAACCAGTGGAACCAGTACAGCAGATCCCGAAGGTTTAACGACACACTCAGACGAGAGGAGGCTCATCAAACCATCACCATCGGCCACGCTTCATCACTTGACGCTAAAAAAATCTGAGTAAAGGTCACCATTGAAAACAAACCGTGCATCATGGAAGTCGACTCTGGGTCATCACTATCCATGGTATCCTGGAGAACACTCAAACAGCTAATTCCCAACATCCGACGCCAAGACCTCAGCAGCCAGAGACTCATACTGAAAGACTATAAAGGCAACAGGTTTCCAGTCGCAGGTACCCGCCATGTCCAGGTCTCTTTCAAGGGACATGATGCAATTCTACCACTCACCATCGTAGACAGAGACCGGCCAAGTCTATTGGGCCTTCAGTGGTTCGCGCCATTAGGAATCGGAATGGCTGGCATCCATCATACTGAAGACGATGACTGGGAGGCAGCCCTCGTCCACGACTTCCGAGAAGTGTTCAACGAAAGCCTAGGCAAGTATAAGGGGTCCCCTATTTCATTTAATCTTCGCCCCGACATTGCACCCATTCGCCTAAAGCCACGCCGGGTTCCCTTTGCTCTCAAATCCAAAATTGACGAGCAACTGGACAAATTAATTGCACAAGGCGTGTTAGAACCTATTGACCACGCCCGATGGGAAACACCAATTGTCACCCCCATAAAGCCTGACGGGTCCATAAGAATCTGCGGTGACTACAAGGCCACCCTCAATCACGCGCTACAGCAGAGCGCCTACCCAGTACCAGTTATTCAACATCACCTGCATTCACTTGGGGGTGGCAAAATATTCACAAAATTAGATCTGGCCCAAGCGTATCAACAGCTACCAGTTGATCCTGAGACTGCAGAAGCCCAAACTATAGTCACACATCGTGGTGCATTCAAATGCAACAGGCTCCAGTTTGGTGTAAGCGTAGCCCCAGGCATCTTTCAAAGCCTGATGGAGAGACTATTACAAGGTATAAAAGGGGTCGTGCCCTATTTTGATGACGTATTAATAGCAGCACCCACAAAAAACCAATTAGAGAAACGCCTCAGAACAGTCCTACAGAGGTTCAAAGATGCTGGCCTCAAGGTTAAGAAGGAAAAGTGCCAGCTTTGCACAGAAAGGGTGGAGTTTCTTGGCTACCTCCTTGACAAGCAAGGAATCCACCCCACAGAAAAGAAATTGGCAACTATCAAAAATGCCCCAAGACCCAAAAACAAAACTGACCTCCAAGCCTTCCTGGGACTTATTAAACTTTTATAACAACTTCCTACCCCAGAAGGCGACTGTTGCTGAGCCCCTTCATAGACTACTCGATAAAAGGGCCTCCTGGATTTGGGGACATCGGGAGGAACACGCCTTCCAGCAAGTAAAAGACCTCCTTACCTCTGATGCAGTACTAATTCAATATAACGAGACACTACCTTTGACTGTCACTTGTGATGCCTCACCATTTGGGGTGGGGGCCATCCTGAGTCACGTCCTACCAAACGGCTCAGAGGCACCAATTGCATTTTTTTCAAGAACTCTATCAAAAACAGAAAGAAACTATAGCCATTTAGATAAGGAAGCCCTTGCTATTGTCTCTGCAATTAAAAGATTTCATGAATATGTTTATGGGAGACCATTTTCTATTATAACGGATCATAAGCCACTATTTGGGATTCTGGCGGGCGACAAACCTACTCCACGCGATGGTCGGAATTTTTCGCTGCCTACGACTATCAATTAAAGTATTGCCCGGGGAAATCTATTCCTCACGCAGATGCCTTGAGCCGCTCGCCACTACCCGAGCCACAGGAAGACCCAGCTCCCACACTCCCGGTACTGCAAATAGAAACAATGTCCTCACCTCCACTAACGGCCCAAGACATCGCCTTTAAAACCAAAAGAGACTCTTGTTTGGCACGAGTTTGTGGCTGGGTGGAGAGGGGATGGCCAGATTACGACCCTAAGGAAATATTTAAGCCATTTAAAAACAGACAAACAGAACTTTTTTCACAAAGAGTCTTGTGGGGAGACCGAGTTGTTGTACCAACTAAGTTACAAAAAAGGGTTTTGCAAATGCTACACGATGGACACCCGGGCATCGTGCGTATGAAAGCGCTGGCAAGAAGTTACGCCTGGTGGCCAGGTATGGACAAACAAATCGAAACCTGGGTCACCTCTTGTAACAGATGCCAGGAAAACCACTCAGCCCCACCAAAAGCTCCACCAGCAGAATGGGAAACACCCAGGGGTCCCTGGTCTCGCATTCATATTGACTTTGCGGGACCTACGAGAGGCCACATTTTCTTAATAACCGTAGATGCATATTCTAACTGGCTTGAGGTCAATAAAATAAAAGCAACCACTACTGAGGCAGTCATCAAAAAACTGAACAGACTCTTCGCCACACACGGGTTACCAGATGTCCTGGTCTCTGACAATGGGCCCCAATTTACTGCCTTAGCCTTTGAACAGTATTTAGCGGAACGGGGCATCTGACACGCACTCACATCGCCGGCTCATCCTGCGGCGAATGGTAGGGCTGAACGAATGGTTCAGTTTACAAAGAAAACCCTGCAGAAAATGGAACAAGGTAATATCCACGACAAAGTCACTAGAATGCTGCTCCTGCAACACATCACACCAAACAGCACGACCAATAAGTGCCCAGCTGAACTCCTGATGGCCAGGAAACTCAGATCGCCTATAGATCGTTTGCACCCTGCCTACACCCCAGAAAAGCCCCTGGGTTCCAGCAGCAAGCACTGTGTTTTCAAGGTAGGAGACCTTGTTTTCGCAAAAAAAATTTCTGGGGATC